GTTTTATTACAATGAAATAAAATAATATAATTTAACTACTTGATGTATTATAATCTTTTATTGATTGATATAAACCTTTCTTACATAAAGACACACTTTAAAAAATTAATGCATTCTTTCAGATAAGACCGTGTACAATACGCTGCAAACAATAATAAATGTCAATAACGCAAACAGTTGTAGTTAATAATAATGTCGTGTGATATTGAGCTCTACTGTTAGAGTTCAGCAGATGCTGTTTATATTATATCCGACATAAGTGTATGAATTGCGTTATTTTAACTTATTTTCAATAATACTGAGAGTTTGTGATCGTTACAAGGCGTTATTGAATATTCTATGTAATTAATGCTATAATTTTCTATTTAATATTTGTTTTGAACTTTTTTGTTCATACCCTCTTTGTAGAAATTGTTCAAGACAAAGGACGGCGACGATTATTTGGCAAAATCAGCACATGTCGGAATTTCATTGATTAATGAAAGGCTTGATATAGACTGAACAGGAGAACGTTTCCATGCACTTACTAAACCTTAGAATTGATCTCAGAAAAAATTTGGTCGAATTAAATCTAATCAAACTTCTCCTCGTGATATATGTTATCGATCATATTTTTGGATATTCTCTCTCAGTATTCTCTCTCAACTTATCACAATTCGAAAGCTCTTTTCTTGACTATATTTTTATGTATCACACACGAGAAAATAGTCGTTCTGGATACCATGAATTTCGCCGTCGTACACTTTCGCAGTAGACTTTCGGCAATTGCCGAAAGTTGCATTTTCATCGGACTTTCGCCGTATCCGAAGTCGAAATTTCGACAATTTGCCGAAGTTCAGTTTTTGTTGAGAGTAATTTTTAGTCCAAGGTATGACTTTCGGCATTGCCGAAAGTCCACTGCGAACGTGTACGACGGCGAATTGCACGTTGTCCGTCGTTCTGAGATCAAGTATGTCTTTAGATACGTCTTTCTATAATAAAAGATGTCCTACGTGCTACAAGTCTCCGATGTTCTATGACCAACTTTTCTCATACGATCACTATGGTAAATATACCATTCGATAGACAATTTTTCAAGTTACAATTTGGTATATAACTTCTGTCCAGAGTACCCTCTTCAAAACGGAAGACACGCGAGATCTTGATTTTCAGTGGTTTGGGTATAATATCGACTTTCCTTATAGTCCTAGAACTGGTCCTACTAATAATAAACTGGTCCTATTAATAATCTCGGAAACGGGTGAACTATAGGTAATAAGATTTCCCGCTTATTTTCACCTAGTATGTAAATTCTAATTTTCTAAATAATTTAATAATAATTTTTAAGGTCTGATAAGTGCATGGAAACGTTCTCTTATTCATTCTATATCTGGCCTTTCATGTGTCGATGAAATTTCGACATGGGCTGATTTTACCAAATAATCGCCCCCCTCTAGTGAATGTACTTGCGAGTGAGTACTTATTTACTTGCAAATTTTCACGGATAGTTGACAAGCACTTGACAAGTATTTTCAAAAAATATCATTTGATAAATCCCTGAAAGCACTTGCCGGATACTTGATTTATTTGTTGAACCCTCACAGCACAGTGGGCATTCAGAGGGAAATTTGAGCAAAAATCGACAAGTGAGCTTTTTTGAATTCGAACAGTAGTAAATGTAGTCCTTGAAAAGCGCTATCGAATGGTATATAATGATCGACTAGTAATCAACTTCTTCGATGAATAAGTTAACTTACGAACATTCACAAAAAACACCGTCAAATATGAAACATCTGCAAAGATTCTTATTTCTATGTACAGACGTACAATATTACCCTATCCAAAGCACATATTCGGAATCAGCACAACCTATTGCATCTCCTGATAATAGAAGGTACTCCTTTTGCATCTTGTACGAAACGAAAAAAGGTCTAGCAGTCTAGATTACTCGGTCCGACATGAGACAACCTCAGTGCAGTGATAGCGCTAAAAAGCGCTAAGCCTAAACAGACCTTCTAATTACATGACAATATTCCTCAGCCTATCATGTATTTATGATGATCTTGTCTTTTCTCGTCTTTGTTTCTAAGTCGAGTTATTGATTTTACAAAAACCCATAGGATTTTCGAGGTAATTCGCGTTTTTCTTCCCCATAAGAGCACATTTTCCATAACATAAAGTCATATTCGGAATCACCGTGAAAAACTACGTCGAATGATATATAGCTTTTTAATTTTTCTGCAGAAATATTTTCGCTCAAACTGAATTATACAGTTGAAAGCCTGTCCGCAGCAAATTTTGATTAGGAAGTTGGATATTTATTTTAGCAATAGTACGCAAGGGTATAAACACATTTTTTATAGGTTTTCGAAGATGATCTCTCCAATAGTGAGGTTTTCGAAATGTAAAAATATTTTTTATAGGTTTTCCAGAGATCCGATCTCTAGAAAACCCACAAGGAATTACTTCTGAGTTCTGAAAATCTCATTATTAGAAAGAGCATATTCGAAAACCAATAGAAAAACATGTTTATAGGCTTTCATACCAGTTCTACAGCATGTGTCCCCCTGCTCTATAGAAAAACACCCACTGTGCACAGGTACTTGGGATTACCTGGATAAGTGCTTGGCAAAGGACTTGACATGAAGACAAAGCAATTCAAGTACTTGGTTTACTTGCAAAAAAGCGCAAGAAGGTTGCACAAAACTTACGAGAGTATTTGACCAAGTATCTGCATGCAAGTACATTCACTAGGACCGTCCTTTATTATTTATTTGAATCAGTTTATAATTCAAAACGAGGTGGAACAGAAATAAAATCTTCCTTCAAGTAACAGCCACTAACCAACCATCTTCTAATTGTAGTTGGAACATGTGTAAAAAACGATAACGTTAACGGGTGTTCATATATTACCTATTTTTATTGTTGTACTATAATTAATGTATTTGCATGTAGGTACTTGGTCAAATACCCTAGCAAGTTTTGTGCAACGTTCGTGCGCTTTTTGGCAAGGAAATCAAGTACTTAAATTGCTTTGTCTTCTTATCAAGTCCTTTGCCAAGCACTTGCCCAAGTAATCCCAAGTACCTGTGGGAGGTTCAACAAGCAGAGATGGACGAATATGAGTATATTCAAGTACAAAATTCCTAGTACTCGTACTCATACTCGTACTCGGGACTTTTTTTAACGAGTATCCCAAAAAATACTCGAGTACTTCCAAAAAACTGGTGACCTTTTTTTTACTATTTGCGTATCAAAAAATCGATCTATTCAAAAAATTTTCAGATTCACCGGCTTCTTCAGAAAGGAAAAATACTCGAGTACTACTCGAGTACTTTTCAGAAAATACTCGTACTACTACTCGTACTCGATCTTCAGTACTCGTACTCGTGCTCGTACTCAGAAATCTGTGTACTCGCCCATCTCTGTCAACAATCTCTGTCAACAACATTTATCGAATGGTACTTTTTGAAAATACTTGTCAAGTGCTTGTCAACTATCCGTGAAAATTTGCAAGTAAACAAGTACCCACTCGTAAGTACATTCACTGAAGGATTTTGTCAGAAAGTACCACAAAGAGTTTATATATTCATTGCTACCGTGTCTGAAACTTTGAATATAGAGAGAAAACAAGGAATAATCATACGTATCACAAGAGAAAAGCAACAACCCGTCGCTGTTGATGTCAATTAAAGAGAAATGAGCACTACTATCTAATTAGTATGAATATTGAAAGTTAAATATTTGTCTGAATCATGTTTTCTGTCAGAGAACTTTTTTCAAATTTTAGGTGCTAAGGGTTTAATATTCTGACAGCGATACGCTCAATATTACCCGTTGTACTACAGAGAAGAGCTGCCATAATTCTAGGATTGAAATTATGTCAAAGCTTGTAATGTTGAAGATAACAAAGAACGAGTGTTATAGGACAAAATGGAACTATATTATATTTTAGGTTAAAGTTTTTGAAAATGTTTACATATGACAGTGATACAATTCGTCCTTTTAATTTGGAAGGTTCCTGTATTGACTCCGTAATTCATCGTGATAAATTCGCCTTGGTACTTTTTGTCTAATGTACTACCATTCTTGAAGACAATGTGGCTTCTTTGTTGGCGAAAAGTACGAATACGAATTATCAACCCTCCAGTAGAGTTGGAACCGATCTTTACCGGTTCTATTTCTTTTTGCAGACACGGACGTATACGCCGTTCTTTTTTTTCTCGTCCGCGTCCGCAAAAAGAAATAGAACCGGTAAAGACCAGTTCCAACTCTGCGAGGGCCTCTACCCTGTCTCACTCTTTGATCGATTACGAAATATCTAATAAGTGCATGCAATCGTGCGTGTAATAAGTATCGAATATAACAGCAATACCGACTAATATACATAAGCATAAGATCATTTGATTCTCAGACTAATTATTTGTCTACTTGTGGTTTCTTTAAATATTTTGTTCTAAGAGTTTTGTTTTGTGCTTTTTACTGCCATCATGGCAGGAATGTGTGTCACTTCTTATCACCTCCGTGACCATTTTCTGTTTGACCGCCTATGAAACCCAAAAATTAAAATTGTATGGTTTGAACAATTATAGGTGGATATATAACTATATACTACATAGAATGATGAATCGAATAGAGTGCAAGAGTAAATATGTCTGATTTTGGATATTCAGTTCTCGAATTCTGTTCTATAAACTGTGTAATGTGATTTTGTGCTTTGATTCGTTTCTATTCTCTTTCTAATTTCTTTATATTTGGAATTGTAATCATTCTGTTCTTGACGCTTGTTTGCATCTAAATTCACTTGTTAATAGTCAGACTCTAGGGTAACTGGACGTTACCCTAGAGTCTGACTATTAACAAATGAATTTCTGTTCAAGAACAGTTAGTCTTATTTGTTGACTTGCCTTGATATTTTATTGAAACTTTTTTTTACTGTGGGAACTGAAGTATTTAATCTGAAATGTATTTTATGTACAACAATATTTTTGTAGCATCGTTTAACCACGAAATATTGAAACATGAAAATCTCACATGTATGGAATGTCATCAATGATAAGTGCACAAGTATGGTTATTTTCAATATTTTACATGCAAGAAGATAATAAATTTATTTTTCAAGTTTTACACATTTTTTATTAGATCTAATGTATTGAGAATGATAGTATGTCAATTATATTCGTGGTATTTTCTTTGAATCATATGTAAAGATTTAAAAATGTAAATTCACCAAAGAGAGCGAGAGAGAGATGAATGACAACTTGTTTATTATCGATATTGTTGTTTCAAAATGTTTAACGATTAATACATTAATTAATGTTCAGTTGACAACAAATTATTCCATTGGACAATAAAAAACAATAATCGAATTAAAAGTATATTTATTAATAATGATTTTATTATTGTGAGTTTATTCCTTACTGACTGATCATTATCAGTTTTATACTGTTATTATGACTTATATTTTCTTGCCAATAATATAACAAAACAAATCGTTATATATTTATCTCTATTTTTACATGTTTTTACATTTCACTTTTTGGTTTGATTTATCTTGTACGATTTTCTATGTTCAACAATATATTTTTCTCATATTGTTTGTTTGTTTTTTGAATGTCTATGATTTACAATACTTATCTATTTATTTTCTAAATATTCAAATTGATATGTTTTAATTTAACTTACATCTTTTCATTTTATTTCAACAAAACATTGTTACAAACTGATTATCATATTCTAAGAACAAATTTGTTTTGTTTAATGTGTTTCAGATGGAAAAGATGCGGAATGATCCGCGTCAGTTGTTCGTTCTTGTGAATAAGGCCAATGAATCACAACTATTGGTAACTATTATTGTTCGAAAATTTTTTTTTATTGACTTTACTCAATTTTTTCATTTGTTTCCAGGAATATTTAAATCTTAACCGAGAGCATAACCAGCGATTTCGTATTGTAGAAGATGTACTTAATTTTCATGGTGTCATTAATGATCGTATTGCTTTTATCGATTGTATTGAAAGAAAACATAATGTTACTCCTTTAATGGTAGCTGCTGGTAAAGGTATGTATTTACTGTATCAATTTTGTTATCTAATCCAAAATATTAAGTAAGCTGGATTTTTTTTTTAATTTAAGGTTTCTATGAAAAAGTTAAAATTCTTCTTGTTCACGGTGCAAAACCAAATAAACAATGTTTAACAGGGTTTGTAAAATGAAAAATTTTAATTGATTTATTACGAATTGTGATAGAAACGACGAGAGAAAAAAATTTAAAAACTTTTTAACATTCTCAAACAAGTATTTTTGAATATTTTTTTAGTGATACAGCCCTAAGTATAGCTGTTCATCGTCAAAAATACAAAATCGTCGAATTATTATTAGACTACGGTGCTAGTCCAAATATACAAAATCAAGCAGGAAAAACAGCATTACATCGAGCTGTTATATCTTATAGTGATGAAGATGCCAATCATATCAGAACACTACTACGTGTATATATAATAAAATGTGTGTCAAGTGATTTTTAATTATTTTTGGTTTAAAACTGTTTTCTAGGCCTCCAGCGATCTTTACATAGCAGATCGTAGTCAGCGCATAGCAATTGATGAAGCAGCACTCAAACATAAACCACGTAAGCTTAGAGAGAGAGAGAAGGAGAGAAAAATAAGTGTGCTTATATGCATTTTATTGATTTAGAAATAATGGATGTTTTGTTAACACATGATAAAAATTTAATAAATCAATCCTATCGAGCTTGTATTTTGGCCACTCGTTTGGGTGACGATGATTGCATTAAAGTTTTACTCAATCATGGTTATGACGTAAATATGACAAATAGCACATACATAACTCCACTGCATATAGCGTATGTATAAACGCAAGAAACTATTATTAACTGTAATACAATAGTTAATGGATGTATCTTATTTGTTCATGTTAGTGTAAATTCACAAAATGCTACAACAGCTCAATTATTAGTATCTCACGGTGCAAAAATTGATGTAATAAATAATCGTGGTGAAACACCACTATCTATCGCTGAACAATTACCACTTATGCAACGACAAAAATTTTTGACTATACTTCAGAGTAAGTAACTTATTGATTTATTCAACGTTACTTAGATGAATTGAAAAAGATATAGCCTAAAAAGGAGAAAATAAGAGAGATCGACGTTCCAATTTTAGACACTCCAATAATACCAACTATTCCGATTAAAAGTGAAGAAGGTGATAAATATTATAGATATATAATAGAATAGGATAATATTAATTTTTATTAGTTGTATACATAAAATAAGCTGAAACTGTTATACTCTTATAACAGTGAATAACAGATCCAATAATGTTTCAATTGATCATTTTTTCTTTTATTCTTTAAAATATATTCTTTTTCTATTAAAGCTACGTAACAATTTTTTATACATTGATAATTTTTGTTGTCGCTCATTTGATCTTTAATGCGAACGCTTTTATGACTTCTTTGTTCTCTTTTATTCAACATTAGTTTGAAAAATGAATAGTAGAGACTGGGGACTACTTATCGTATTCCAAAATTAAAATTTCTTTTCTACACAAATTTATGAACGTAAATTAAAAGATGAGGCAAATAACATACATGTGATATTAGTTGACCAAATTTTAAGAAAAAAAAAACAGTTAGAGGATTTCGGTTACAAGAAATAATACCGATACCATTGATTAATAGGAATGTTTGGTTCTTGTGAAGAACCGGAACCGCGGTTCTCTTATTTTCGATTCTTCATCGGGAATCGGAACCGCGCTACCTTCCCTTTTTTCAGAACCAAGACTGTCTGACTTGCCTTTCTTTCAACAACATGAAAACACACTATTGACCAAGCTACAAAAAGATATATTTCTGTCATGACATATGGTTTCTTAGACTATTTACATCATCAATTAATATTTTTATTGGTATATACAATTTCCGAGATCCAAACTATGTTATTTGATCATAGAAATGAAATGAGATCTATCTTTTGACACAAAAAAAAATTTGTCTTGTGACCGTTATTTTTATTTTGAATTTTGTCAATCAGTATCAGAAACATTTTCTATCCGTGATATTTTCTCATTTTGTCTCAAATTTATCAAGATCAGAAAGATAGCTGTTACTGTAGATCATGAGTGTGAGTGACAATGAAGAAGTTGAACAGTTTTCTTTAATGCATTACGCACATATTAGTCAAAATAAAAGCCTAGATATTGTTTTTTGTCTTAAATTATTATAGATAATCACATATCCTTCTTCTTGTGCTTCTTCTTCTTCATAACATTTAGATTACTCTGGCTTTCCTCAAGATATATATTAATTTCGATTGTTATATATAAATTATTCGACTAATGTCACAATTCTATTTCATTTAGACCCAATACCTCCAGAACGAAATATTGGTGCAACTTTATCCAACTATGGTAGTAGTCAAGGTTAGTATGACTTATTTAATTTTTTTATTTGAGTATGATGTTAGTAAAAGTTGTAGTTTAAAAAAAAGAATCAAAATCAAATTTATCATCTCTTTCTCTCCATGACTATTTCAATTTGCCACTGGATTTGCTTTCATAATGCTTATTTTTAACATTTTTGGATGTTGAAAGAAAACAACACATTTACATCTACTGACACACCTCAAAGAAGAAAAATTATTTTGATTCTAACATGTAATTTTTAGTGTTTTAACAAATGTTCAGTAAGTTTTTATTGTTGTCTGCATAATTAGATAATTAATTATAAACGTATTTTTGCATGCACACGTTATTTTGCACTAAAAATAACCGTTATACTTTCATACAGAAGAGAACTTTAGTCATATTATTTTCATAATAGATTGTAATCTTTTTAGTTTAGAGTGCACTTCACTTTATAAAAATGTTCAAGTAAATTTACATTTATTTTTTTAAATATTATCTTTTTTTTCTAAAACGTAGAGAATTATCTATCAATGATTTAATTAAAAGAGAATGATATACTAAGACATAAAGGTTAAAGATTTGATAATAGATTAATATTATGTTAAATGTTCTTATATGAATGCTTTTATCTACTTTATATAGTGATAGTTTGTTTATTACTATTATTCATTTATATTTTTTTTGCTCACCTATTCACATTGTGCATATATAGCTTAAATATACTTTTTATTTCATTTATTCTTTATTTCAACATCTAAATATGTGTTTATTCTTTTTTTTTATTTTTAGTATCTACAATATCATATGCACACCCATTATTACAAAGTCATTCAAATTGGACATTGGATAATGATGAATATCGAAGTCAAACAACACCTGGATCATCCGTACAAAATCTTTTAGATCGTATGAATTACTTTCTATTGTGTTAAGTTTTTTATTTTCAATTAATTTCATTTTTTTTAGCATCAAATGGTACGTACTGGTCATGTTCTCTACCGAGAGATGCATGGGTTATATTTGATTTCAAACATGAACACAGTATAAGTGGAATTCATCTAATAGGATGGTAAGTAAAATAAAATTAGATTCTATAAAATTCAACATCGTTCAATAATTTGTTTATATATAACTTTTAAAAAGAACAAAATAATTTGAAATTTTTCCATATCATTGATTTATATAGTTTGTCTAATTTAGTGATAATGTATCAACTCCAAAAAAAGGCAAAATCGATGTATCAAATTCACACAAGTAAGATTTTTCTGGAAAATAAATTTGAGTTTGATTTTACTTCGAACAATCAAAAGATTCTGCCACTTTGAAGTATTTATTCTTGAAAAAGACATTCTAATGATCTTTCTATAGCAGAGCAACAAATTATATAAAACTCCATCATGACAATACAAGATCACATGTGATATTTCAACTAACTAGCTTACAGGAGAAAAAACGAAAATAATGATACATCCACTTTACTCATCTAATTTTACTCATTCAAATTTTTGATTGTTAAATTAAAGAAAGACTAGATGATACACATATTCAAATGAAAAAATCATTAGTAAGAACAAGAATCAAGAAAGTCAGATCGATCATGTTAATGAATACAGAAAAACGTTTGAAAAGTGGATTCAAAAAAGACGCAACTATGTATCGAACATCACGATGACTATTTCGAATATTTACTATAGAAAAATCATTAGAACGTCTTTTTCACAAATAAATATTTCAGAGTAACAGAACTTTTCAACTGTTCTAAATCTGTGCACTCTATTTTCTCTGTAGTGGTCCATGGCTAAAAGTAGAAGAATTTCACTGTCCATTGAGAAGTAAGTTTGCTGAATTTTTTTTAGTTAAAAATTAATGAAAGTATTTTTGTTCATTTTAATAAAAGACAGGAATATTTATGACATATTTTTTCAATCAGTGAAAACACGTTTTATACGAATATATATTACGGAAAATTATGGTGCGAATGACATAAGAATACAAGGAATTGGCTTTTATGGTATCGATACACAATTAGTTGACTTATTGAATAAATACAAATTGGAGAATATTATTAATATTTTACTAGCAAATGTAAGAAAATTTTATTTTCAAATTTTTTTCTCAGTTCCTTCAACATAATCTCGTTATTCTAGGGTATTAATGATCTAGAAACATTACATGAAAAACGCGATGAAGTTATGAATTCAACGGTACTCTTTTTATACTGTCAAATTTCGAAAGATAAAAAACCAAAATATTTATGTTTTTTTTAGCATTTTATCGATATTAATCAACATTTTCAATTTAAAAAATTAATTGAATCTATAAAAAGTATTGTTAAATATAGACTATTATATATGCGATGGAGATTCTGTCTGTTTTTGTTTAGCACCAGTATTAATGTATCTTGAATGGCTTAATTTTCCACAGTCGAGGGCTATTGCCGGTGAAAAGTTACAAACATTTAGCGTAGTTGCCAATGAAAATATAACAGACCGTGTCAGACTTGAAGAAAAAAGTAAACAACAATAGTTTTCATTTTACAAGCGAACAAATATAGAAAATTTTGTTGATTTTTCCTAGTCGAACATCAGCCACACCCTATTACAAGATTAGAGAAATATCTAGAGCCAATACAAGGACAATCATTAGCCGAGTTTACTAATTATTTAATTCAACAGCGTACGCATTTTTCTTTTTTTTTATTAGAAAAAGAGACTTAAAAATTTTAAAAATTATTTCACTTTTGATTTTTAGCTGGTCGATATGAAATTCGTGTTGTTAGTCATGAAAGACCAGAAATTCATACTAGATGGCACGAAGTTGTTGTTGGTAAGTAATAAAAACTATTAATCAACATTAATCATTATGATAACTTTTATCAAAAACATTTAGATAAATAAAGTACAGCTTACATATTGCACCATTGATTAAATTATAATTAACATATTTTAAAAATATAATTGAATCGTTTGTCTAATTTTTTAATTTAACAATGTTCTTATTTCCTTTCCATTAGGCAAAGTTAACTGACAAACAAAATTTTTAATATAGTTTAGTTTTGTTCGTTTTTTTCCCCGATATCATGGTACCTTAAGAACAGTTCAAGTAGATCAGTCTATGTACGTCATATAATAACGGGTACTTCAATCGTTGATATGACAACAAAAATAATTTTATTTTCTAATGAGAAAATAATTAATAACATTTGACTTTATTCTACGAATTGAGCAAATTGAACATCTTATAAAGATTTATCAGTAATAAATATGAAAAGTTGAAGGTTGTAAAAGTATTTTGTCAAAGAATAAAAAAATAATTTTAGTTTATTATAAAAATTGGTAGTTATAAATTCTATAAAAGTTTAAATTCACGAAAATCGTGTTTTGTTTTGTTTTGTTTAAATATAGCAAGAGAGAAAAATCTGCACAAAAATCATTCATTTTTATTTTGGATATTCTAGATTTTATCTATTCGATTCTGCACAAACGTTTTTTTAAGAGAATTGCTTTTAGCAAAGATCTTAAACACAAAAACCAGTACAACCTTCTTATTTAAAATTCTCATATTTTTTATTTATTGTTTCTGTTCAAAAATATTTTTGAGTGAGTAAATTTCAATCCCATAACATTTAAGCATCATTCAATAGCTTAAGAATAATTATTTTTATTAATATATTGAAAAAACGTTAATTTTAAGTGAAATCTAATTGTCTAATTCAACATTTAAAATAAGAATTTAATGAAATGAATTATTTTTATGTAAGAAGGTGATGTCATAAGTGAGGAATGGTTGTGATGTTGTTTATATTTACATTTCTATTTTGTATAATAGGTTATGTATACACATATAACATTTTATTTTTCTTTCTTATTTAAAATTTATTATATAATGACGATTTAATTTAAACTTGTCATCACACTTGAAATACCTGTTGAACAGGATGTATACTTTGCTTAAAGTAGTTTAGAAAACTACTGAAATTTGCACTTAAACTTAATCACTTTGTTATTTCTATTAATTATGACTGCTCTTTATTGAATGAAAACAAATCAATGTTCAACACTCTCTTAGTCATTGTCAAAAGTCACTTGTCTTTTTAGTTGAATAGACAGTTATTGAGAAATTATTATCTGCCGATAATAATTCATTTTTCATTAGCTTTTTTTTAGCGAAATCAGTCTCACTAAAATAGATTAAAATAAAAATATATTTAAACCTATTTGGTTAAGCTCATGAAATTATTTAAGGGATTTCTTTTTAATCGTCTCTTTTTTTTTCTTATGAGACAACTCTGGTTCGCTAAGCCTAAACTATAATACTTCTTTTAAAAATTGCTGTTCACCAGGGGACCTCGCGAACTGTCACATCGCTTTTTCAGCCAAGTCTAGTGGGTTATAGGTTATGAACTATGCTGAATCCGAATATGGTGGCTGCTCAGGGGCCTTCAAAGAGCGGTTTTTCGGAAAACCAGTTTTTTCAGAAACTCTAAAAAGTAACCTTTCTTAATGAAGCATGATTGTAATCCGCAACTGATTAAAAATGAGACATCTCCCAGCTCTACACGACCGTTCTTTGCAAATATAGAATTTATCAGAAACGATCTAAATGTTCATTGTCAGTTCAAACGCACAGAAGTAAGAAGCTTAATTAAATTAATTTAGACTTTTTCTTGTAAATTCTATAACTTTGCAAAGAAAGGTCGTGTAGACCTGCGAGATGTTCCATTTTAATCAGTTGTGGGCTACTATCATGCTATCGCTATGATATTCGGATTCAGCATAGTTTATAACCTATAACCCACTAGACTTGGCTGAAAAAACGATGCGACAGTTCGCGGGGTCCTCTCGTCAGTTGAGGAAGGATGGCAAATTCGACATACTGAATGTTCACATCGAATTCGCTTTTCTGAATAAAAAAATCTTTTTTTGTTTCTTAAAAACAACAACATCTTGGTAGATCCGTACCTGTCTTGCAGAAATGTGCGATTTTCTAGTGAAGAAATTCTCTAGGTTTTGAATTTCTCTGTATATATCTTGTACAGTTTCAGTTGTTGTGGTAGATGTATAGTTGTTTCACTCGGAGTATTTGTTTGATCAGAAAAGGTTTGGATAAAGTTTCTACGCCAACTTTTTTGACGGTTATTATAAAGCAATTTCTGACGACGGTATTTAGACGGCATAAAAAACTACATAATATTTGATGCACGGTTAAAAACTCGAGTAAATAAATATAAGTAGTTATTATTAATCAAAACATCTCCTAAACACGCCTTTATCATAACCGAATAAACAGTTTATGATTTACATTAGATGTAGAGAAAAAATCCATTACATCTGCACATAGAATGCTTTACATACATGAACACATAGTATAGAGAACAGTTATTGATTATCGTTTGTGCACCTATAACAAGGATGATAAATGTGCCCCGCAGAAAGAGCACATCCACATAATATAATAAGCATAAAATCCGAAGGAACCATATTGGGCAGATGAAGCGTTGATAGAGAAGCGCCCATCACCAAGTTTGGATCGTGTACGTTTTTAAATTGTCAATTTTACCAAAAGCTTGCCCTCGGCTCGAGCTATAGCTGTGAGATACGGTAACAATAAAGTGTTTTAACGACTTTGAGTTTTATTCTGAGTACAAAGAAGCAGTGCATAGTCACTTTCAATAACCCATCCATGATGTTTGAAGATCACTGAATCAAATCCCTATTTTTGTATTGAACCAATGCTGTAGAGTCACTATATGCTCTCCACCGTACTTAAAAACGAAACAATGTTTATTTTTATTTTTTCCTTGAGTTATAACTATTTACTTGAATAAAACGTATACAATAGAAAATGATTTTATAGAAGGAATTTGTAATATGCTACTTTCGTCTATTTGACATCTTAAATCTCATAAAAACTAAAATTATAAGTGCATATAATAAATTTTATTATTTTTTATTTTTCTTTAATTTTTTTCTGTCATAATATTGACAGATGCTCGTAGACTAGTGGTATCCTTTACGGTCTTCGCTCAACTATCTCTTTCATTTTTCGAAGCAGACACATTTTGATCTATGAGTGCATATTTTACTAAACAATGTCAAATTATTTCTTTTTATTTTTTTTATTTGATAATATAGACGGAAATGTCATACAATAAGATATTCAGTTTTTTCTCCCTTTAATCGAAGTCAATAAAAATAGTAGTAAAAAAACAAAAAAAAACCGCAACCATTTTATCTACGACAGTTTTACCACAATAAAACATATTCGAGGTAAATAAATCTTCTAGTCAGATCTTGATAATAGGACAAGTGTATAGAAACAAAAGAAAAATTCTAAAATTACAACGAAATTTTCTCTATTCTGCATACGAGCATTCTGTCACGTCGTTTTTGCCAAACTACAAAAGAAAGAGTACAGTTTTCTTCGTTAACAAAATTAAAAGCCTTAAAGACATATGTTCAACGTTCATATATCCAAAATGTGTCTGCTTTTCTTTCTCTGTTAATTGCATATTTGATATTGATTACAACTGCTAAAGAATGTGACATTCGAATGAGGCTTCGGAAAAGTTAATCAAGCCATATCGACATTGGTGGCTTATTCATTGAGAAAATGCCAATAGCATGAGAATGATATGTTATTGGAGCATTTTAAACAGATGATTGAAACTGAACTAAAAAAATTTTTTTTCTTCTTTTACTTAAGGTTTTAAATCGTCAGATATAAGAAAACCGGTCTACGAGCATCTTTATCTTAACAATAATCCATCTGATCGGATACCACCATCTTCGTTCAAAATAGGTCAGCGTTCATTAGATAAGCAACGAGACGATGACAATCGAGGTTTATTCACGGAAGTTTATGATTCAACATTAGATGAAGAGTTACCATCTGTAAGATCAACATCTCATTCAACAGAGAAGAACATTTATCATTTCTCAAAAAACAAACCGACGGTAGCAACAGACCACCTATTTGCTTTTGAATATAAGGAAGAGGAAAATGAGTCAAAAAACAATGACGGCCAAAATCAAATAAAAGTGGTTCAACCGTATTATATAGGACGAAATTCGGCAAGTAACCATGAATATATTCAACATCCTTCGGATGTTAGTGAACAACAGAAGAAACAGAAGCCTAATCATAATTATGATAGTTATAACGGCGGATCGACAAAACGCCGTGATACAAATGGTATTAACGGTAATGGTAAACAGCCGTATTCTAGTTCATCGTCTTCGACCATAAGTCATAACCAGAATCATAATCAACAACCCCCATATACAGAGGAGAAAGCAAAAGAAAACACTAGGCCTTCTCGACCAACTATTCGAGAAGATTGGGAACAGTTACCAGAATTTGTTGAATATTGTTTGACACCAACAAAATATTATTGTCGTTATTTGACACCAACAAAAGATCGTAGAAAAAAAATGGTCAATGAATTAAAAAAAGCCAAAAACCAAAATGAATCTTCGAGTCAAGACGATGGTGTGGATAGTTGGAATAACAACAGTGAACTTAGTAATAATACTGACGATAATAAAAATAAAGTATTAACAAATATGAATATATCTCATACAAAACATCAGAATGAATTAAAATCACCACCAGTTACAGTAAATGGTTCATTACAAGAATACAAACAGTATCGTATTAAAAGTGGCGATTTGTCATTTACTCAAAAACCAATCATATCAGACGAAGACAAAGAAAAAAATTTATACAATTATATTCCAGCTAATACAGAGATGCAGTTGACATTCAAAGCTATTGTTCAAGGTCCAGGTAAATCTTTGGTACACGAACGTGCGTTAAACGGAATTACTCAGTATAAACACGATCAAAATTCATTACAAAAATTTACTAGTGACAATAATTGGAGATTAAAAACAAACGATAAGACACATGCCGATCATTCTCCAAGAATACGTCCAATAGATGAATCAATAATAGTTAATAATAATAATCAACAACAGCAACAACGAAAGGAAGAGCCTATCATAAACATACAAGAAACGAAAAATAATGATTACATGCCTAATGTTCATAGAAAGTCGACAAATTCAACTCTAATTGGATTTAAAAAGCCTGCTGATGATATGCCTCATCGTACACAGTTAAACAATGAACGAATAGACCAACAGAAAACAAAAAATAATGAGTCTCCTCATTCCTCTACAAATCGTAAATTTTCTTTTCCATTATCCTCGCCTTTTACGCCGCAGAATGCAGTCACTTCTCCAAACGCTTATGAAACGATTGAACCTGTTGATGAAACGAACGATCAGAAAAAATCATCCTTCATAAATAAAACTGATGATCACTTTCGATTTCGTCCAGATAGTTCCCAACCGGCACCAGCATTTGTTGACAGCGAATATAATTTTAATCGGTCTCAACTATCTGATCGTGTTAGTTTATCATCTTTAAAACAAGCTGACAGAGAAATTGAAGAAAGTGACCAAGAAGAAGATAATACTAGTGAATGTCAATCATTTGGACATGCACCAATGAATAATAGCGTATTACCAACGAATAGAAGCAATCAAAATGAATTGTTACAACAAAGCAATCAACGATTTGAACAAGATGATGCTGAGAACTACTACGCAGAGCCAGATTTTATACCATCGCAAACGTCAAATGCTGCAGCAAAATCCACTGAAATATTCCCAATTTTTGATAAAGCAACGACAACAATGAAAAATCAGCCACCGGTTGAAGCTGTTGGAAATAATTCATTGTCTATTAATGACAGATCGCCATATTCGTATATGGAAGTTACGGATGACGTCAATGCTAATGATTATGCTCAGAATGAAAGACAAAAAAATATTTATGAGCAAGAGAATCAGTCATCGGACGTATTAAATTCTAGTTACTATGAACACGGTTACCAAATACATACAAATCAAAATCCGACAGAACCAAGAATACCAGTATCGTCACCTCCGCTTTCAACTCATATAACTTCATCGGCGAAAGATTATGAAATATCAATAAAGTCAAATACTGATTCCATGAGTACATCTGTCGATAAAGAAAGACCAGAAACTCAGTCATGGTCATATCCTCCATTTTCGCCTACTCAACAACCTCCCGCGCCCTATCAACAACAACCATCATTTGGTCAAAAAAGTTTTGCCCCCTCTCATACGGGATCATCAAATAGTAAAACTCCAAAGAAGAAAAGCTTTTTTGGTAAATTTGGCAAAGATAAGAATAATAAGAGACAAAATAAGCAGCCAAAACCGAGAAAATTAAATAAATGATTGAATGTAGACGTTAGTAATATTTAACTTTTTTCTCTCGTAAAAATTAGCAATAGTTCCCACACCGGTTTAATATTCCGAGTTGTTAGATATAACTTTTGTTTCTTGTTATCAATTTTTTACTCTTTTCTTTATATTTCGTGTAATTTTAATAACTGGATATTTAAATTAAATATAAGATTGTTGAAAAATATTCTATGTATCTTAATCTATCAATAGTTTCGTATTTTGAGACTACTTTTAAAACATTTTGTTTACTTATTCAACGTATAGAATTTGAGCATCACTAAACATAGGACTGCTAGAAAATCAGTGATATTTATTTACATTCGTATACTGAGGATACTTCCAATGTCAAGTAGTTTTATGAACTTTATTTAAATTTTCAAAAAACGTATCACGTTTATCGAGCAATATTCATAATATCCTGAAGTTTCGAACTCGTTCTGATGTTTTTTGAGTGCACAGTGAATTTTTTAATATTAAGTGAAGACAGCCTGGAAACCCCAATTTTGATAAAACTCCGTTTTCACCCGTTTTTGAATTCTTTTCCCAAAACAAACATTATCATCAGATTCAGCGTGAACAATTACGTATGCTCCATCCGATTTCAAGACTACCTGAAGTCACTGGATATCAGTCCTAAGGCTCCAGAGAAATTGGATACCACGCCCGAACCACTAAAAATTAAGGTCTCTCTTGACCCCCATTTTGAAGAGGACACTTTAGGTTATCTGTTCATGAAGAAAAATGAAAGTATTCGTACTTGAAGTTTTTGAGCTATTAGTTGGTTTTCAAAGGATCTCCTCAAAAACTTACTTTAAAATACTATTTTCGAATTAATATCTATTATAGAAATGTCCTCCAAAATCTCTTCTTTTGAATGATGAAAGTCCAGACTCTCTATCACATTTCGTTCTCGAGATAGTCAAAAATAGTCATGTGCCTTATTTTTTTTAACAGACAATAGTCCTTGTTTATTAAACTATTTTTACTGTTTTTTGTTCTTTTATAATCCTGATGTTCTAATACATTCTTTCCTGAGACTCTAATTGTTTATTTTGCATCTAATGATTTTATTTCTTTTGATAGTTCAAAATATTTTTTGTATTATTTTCTCTTTCATTTTTGTAATTTCAATTTTGTACCATAATAGACTGATAAGTTATAATGAGCTGAATAAAACAATGAAATAACATTAATTTGGTACGAATAACAGGCGAATCATTCTACAAACAATAATATCCTAGAGAAAATTAACACGAAGGTCAATTATGTATTCAAGACACTAATGTTACAAGTACAAAACCACAAATAAAAGAATAACACGGTTGTGAAGGATCTTTGTTTGCTAATCCCCTCCCTTTTCTTTTATCTCGAAAAACACTTAAACTACCATCAATTTAACTAAATAAAACGATAAGACATTCTTTTCTTTGCATGACTGAAGTGACATATAACACTAAATTAGTAGTAGTACATCATTAAAATTTTTTGTTACGCTAAATAGATAGATAGGAGTAAAACAAAAAAAAGACAAAAAAGAAATAGTTTTATATTGATATATCAAGTAAATATTTGCAGTTGGTATGCTGATTTCGATTTTAGATGTCAATTTCTTTTTATGAGTATCTCATACTTTAGAGAGTTTTTAAATAATAAATTCGAAGGTGAACGTTACATACACGATTCATTATATTTAAAATATACTAATTATATCATAAGCAAATAGTAATCTATATGCAAGTTGTACTTTATGCCACTGTAACATATCTTTCACACATAAATTCCTTCTTACAGGTGCGTCATATCCAAAAACATTTCCTATTCAAACAAAAATATTAAAAATACACAACGTTGACTCTTTCAAAACAATATCTCAGGAATCATCACTAGAAGATATTATTACTGAAGAGTCCGATCCTTTTCGATATAGAGGTCGAAACACCCCTGGAATAAAACTACGACGCCCGTTGGACTCAGATAGTGAAGAATCAGATATGTCATCTAAACGACCGTTAGTATTTGAAACACCAGAACTTGTTAATAAAAATGTACAAACAACAGAAAAATTACTACGAAATGTGGCAACAATGTATCAGCCAGTTACCCGAGATGTTGGCACAGCTCCACCTTCTTTCCCTCGCTCAACGTCTACACAAACCACGTTACCACAACATTTTAATAATTCTATACAAGAACAATATCCTCCACATATTGCTCGTTGCAGACCAGTATCGTATAGTGATAACCGCAACAATGAACCACCGCCATCTAGAAGGCGAAGATCTTCGGATGATTATGAACATTCTTCTCCTCAAACATCAATGTGCCATGATAAATGTAGCTACGTACCAAATGGATACGATCAGCCATGCCAGAATGATCAAGAGAAAGATTATCCGTATAGACCTTCAGAAATAATAAAATCTCGTCCGGATGTTGGCTATTCTCCAAAAATCGACTCTGAGAAAACAACGCTATCGATTGGAACCGATACAGGTACGGACAGACTTAAAGAAAATCGTGGCGTACAAAATGAGACAAAACCGCAGAAAAATGCATCGACAATGTCTGACAATGAATTATCGACCACTACATTAAAACAAAACAAGGGAAACACGAAAATCGACTCTGAGAAAACAACGCTATCGATTGGAACTGATACAGGTATGGACAGACTTAAAGAAAATCGTGGCGTACAAAATGAGACAAAACCGCAGAAAAATGCATCGACAATGTCTGACAATGAATTATCGACCACTACATTAAAACAAAACAAGGGAAACACGAAAATCGACTCTGAGAAAACAACGCTATCGATTGGAACTGATACAGGTATGGACAGACTTAAAGAAAATCGTAGCGTACAAAATGAGACAAAACCGCAGAAAAATGCATCGACAATGTCTGACAATGAATTATCGACCACTACATTAAAACGAAACAAGGGAAACAAAAAAATTTCAATATCAAAAAGAAATATTGGTGTTGACACTACATCTCTTGCTCAACAATATTGGATTCCAGTTGCTTCGACCTATCGATCGAAGTTACCCACTGAGTGTATTGAAAAACAAAAACCATATTCTGAACAAGCGGCAAATAATGATGGCTTGAAAAAACCACATTCAGAGAAAGATCAACTAAAAACAATAGATATGAATAATAGTATTCGTGACAAGGATCCTAAGTTACTATTGAGTGAAAGAAAGTCAATATCATTTGAAAATTCCAGATATGATGATGATGGTGATGATAAACAGCCACAACAACCCACTTATTATCCACCGTCGGTTAAAAATTTAGATTTAAAACAAGCAGATATGTCTTTGCTTGATAATAATGAATCGTTATTAAATATTGGCTCTATCAACTACATATCGGATCCAATAATGGATGAATATGCAGATCAGTTTTCAACGAAATCTAATAACGGTAATTCGAATAGAATAAAATTTGACGAAACAAATAAACGTAACACATTAATGATGCCTGTTTTGAATATGTCACGTTTGTATCTTGTTGAAAAACAGCAATTGAGAAAAAAAGACTTTTCATTACCAAGACAAATGTCACAAGGACACAATGAAAGACTCTTCTTTCACAACAAAAACAATGACAATAGAGAAAAATCATCAATTCCGCTACAAAAGGGTCAACAACCACGCAGACCATCACAATCCAATGGAAATTTTTTTCTCAGTAAAAAGCCATCAATGACCACTGCTGACTCATCTTTCATGGATGATAATATATATTCAAAAATCGATACATAGACGCATAATATTAATGAGAACAGTATTAGTTGTGCAACTGGGCCAATTAGAGGACAAAAATCAATCTATGACGAAAATTAGACAGTTGGCAAACTTTCATGATATGGATCTGTTTTTAATACGATAATAGATCGTTAAAATTTCGAATAAATAAATTTTCTTTGAAAACTTTGATATATTTTCGTCATATTAGGATCATTCTAGTCTACTTCTGATCCTATTTCGAGAATTTTTATCTTTTCTGATTTGTCATACAGAACATGTTGTTAGAACGATGAAAAACTTATTATTTTCCAAATTAAACTAATTGACGGCTTTAACAAAAGAATTTTTTCAAGTATTTGTTATATAATATACTCTTCATATTGATGGACAAATATTTGAATATAAATAAAAAGTACTCTAGCAGCAGTATTTAATATCATAGATAAAATTCAAATCATGAGCAATAATTGTTATCACGCACTACCAGCCGATGTAATACACTGTCTTTTGATACATCTTTTCACTGTCTATCATATGATTTGTGTTTATTTGATGTTTTAATAATACTAATTTATTTTGGTCTTCTGTGTACTGTAAAAATCTATATATTCAACAAAAAAGTCTTTCAATAAAATCTACAATAGTTTTTAATAACTGTCATTCTTGAAACATTGTCAAAATTAAAATCATACAGCATTAAATAAACAATAAATTTTTAGAAAGATGTCTTTAAACTATTCGTTAAGGTATAAGAACTCAAAATCAAATTTTCTGACAGATTCCTTTGAATTAAAACGTGTTGGTTTCACAGTTCTAGACAATAAAATCTCGTACTGAGTTTGGTTTCTATTACATCTAAAGTTTGTACACTTTTCAGTCTGTTATCTAACAGTATAAATCACAATTATACCTACATGTTTATTTATTTTTATTTTATACACTGGATAAATTAGATCTAATGGGTTTAATTTTAAATTTAAATTATTTAAAGTAATGATTTAACCATTGTATTTTACATTTATTTTATCCATGATGTTACTGATTACTATTAAACTACTAAGATTCAAAATTATCCATTATTTTTCTCTCGTATTCATTATAGAATTTGATGTTGCTTAGTTTTGTTGTCATAAAATTACTCTTTTTGTTTTGCTTCAGGACTGACTCAACTTTACGTTAACATTCTTATAGTGATTGTATCTTAGACAGTTTTTGATGCATATTAAAAAATATTATTTTACTTTTACTAGTTATTCGTCTCTTCATGATGATAAATAATATACAAGTAATAAATATCTACCTGTCATTCGTTAGTATGACGATTTTTTTTTTATTGCATTTTTTTTTAACCTCACTCATTAACGATAATGGTAAAATCTATAATAGATAGTTATACGCTACTATACTGTACATAACTTGTTCATTGCAATAACGAGAATAAAAATATAGCAGATAAAATAAAGTCTTCTGGCAAGTAAGTAACATTTTTATGAGAGCTTTTATTCATTTTTGGTAATAATTTCACTAAGACTATTCAAAAATTTTAGAAATATTCTTCAGGTCAGTATTTGTACCGAAACAATTCTTTAAATTTCAATCTGTCCTCAGTACTATTATTAATGATACAATTCTTAATTTAATGACCTTTGTAGTAGGTTAATTATTGCACTTTCTCATTATAAATTTTCATGCCTATTTCTACACATAGAAATGATGCTCTTACACACTTTAAATTTCATAAAAAAATCTATAGTTTTTGTATCTTTAAGGACATCCTACCCTTTTCCGTATTTTTCACTAAAGACCGTTCGTGATACAGTGATTTTATCAACATGAACCAATTCATCCTGATGAAATATAAAAAAATTTCTGTTAGAAGTATTTATCTTTTGCATTTATCTTTCGTAGTACTTACAATTCCAAATATACTACTTTCTAAGCTCACTTATTGTTTCTATTACTTCTACTAATTTCAATATCTGACAACTTTGCAAGAAAATTGAAACTGTTTTTCAAATAAAAATAATTGAAAACAAATCAGACTGTATTGTCAGAAGGGTATGTTTGATCAAATAGAAGAGACATATTAATGTCCTATTTTTTTCGCTTGTAGAAATTTGTCTTTTTTTAGATCAACAGATCAAACATATACTAACATAGTAGATTTTTAGAAGCAACAATATTTTAAATAACTTATAACATATAAAGAATCAGAGGTAGGCAATTCAAAATCCAGACTCGAAACAGTTGTGCTTCGAGATGGACATGGACTCGAGAGTTTTTTTATCAAGCCCGTTTGAAGTTCAGTTAAAATCTATCGTTTTTCCCTAATCAAGTCAGTGTAATCTTGATGATGATGATTTATTGCGTGAGAAATGCCTGGGCCTGTTGCTCGCTTGCACTACAGTGTAGATAAAATGAAAATTCTATATAAAAGTATTAAAAAGTTGTGAGAAGAAAGGTTTTTGTACATCGGTTACAATAAAAATACAAATAGAGGGGTGTGCAGCACTCGCTCGTTAGACACAAATATATTTTTAGATTATAAAAAAAATATATAAAAGTTTGCACACATTGGTTTTTATAAGACTCAACCGTAGGCGGAAAGAATGTTTCAAATTTACGGTCATCTATAAGATATAAGTTAACAATGAAAATAACAAGTTCATTGGTTACAGTAACTTGTTTTATGAAAGAGGAAGCTAGTTTAAAAATACGTTTAGTTAAACATTCAGTTGAAGATAGTGTATGTGAACATCGAGAGTAGAAAATCATGGCGGTAAGCGGTAACAGATTTTCAACACGGCACTCTGTACACGTTGGAATTTAGTGCAACTAGAGTCTGAGATACACCGAAGACTGGGAGAAAAGTATGTTAAGAGAGGATGAACGAATGTGTTAAACACAAACACAGCAGTGTGAGAGTAAAGTCCCCAGAGCCTGCCACACACACTTTTTAATGCACCGAGTGCCTTTCGGGCACGCAAATACACGTCATCTACATGAAGAGAGAGCGACATACATTGGTCCAAAATAAAATCTAGATATTTAAAATTTTTAACTTGCTCTAATACATGACTATTCATCAACAGATTCAATTTTGCGTTTCTGTCAGCTGGACATTTCGTAAAATACATGCATACAGTTTTAGCATAACTTATTTGAAGACACCAAAGTTTACAATATTCACAAAGTTTATCACAAAAAAGTTGTAACATTTTCTCTCCTTGTACACTATTAAAACATGCACAAAAGGCAGCAATATACATCGGCAAATAGAGAAAGACGAACACCGAAAGTGAAACAAAAGGAAGGAAGATCATGAATGAAAAAGTTGAAGAGCAAAGGAGAAAGAATACTACCTTGTGGTGTCCTATAAGGGCAGTTGTACAGTTTAGATGACACATTCGAAATTTGTATGAAGTATTTTCTGTGTTTAAAATAAGACTGTAAAATATTAAAAAGACGGTCAAGACAGTTTTTACTTTTTAATTTAAAAAGCAGGTCATTAAGCCACGCCTTATCAAACCCTTTTTCAAAATGAATGAAAAGTCCCACCATATGTTGACTTTTATTAAAAGATGTTTGAGTTTGTTGAATGAGGTTCAAAATTTGGTCAACTGTACATCGACCTTTATGAAAACCGCTTTGCTGTATCGAAATTATGATATGTTAACCAATGAGTCAACCTTAATGTAAATAAACGTTCGAAGAGTTTAGATAAGTTACATAAAAGGCTTATTGGGCGGTAACTATTTGGATCTGTTTTGATTTTACCTTTCTTTAATAGCATCCTAATTTTTTGGATATTCCAGACGTCAGGAAATGTGCCAGATACCCATAGAGAATTGAAAAGAAGACAAATAATAGGTAGAAAAATTAAAAGGAGATGTTTGACAGTTACACCAGGAATATTGTCGTTACCAGATGAAAGTTTTGGTTTCATGTTTTTTAAAGCAGAAGAAATTTCAAAAATAGAGAAAGAGGAATCAAATTGTGACACGGGAAGGGAGGAAGAAACAGAATTGCTCTGGTTTACAACTATCTTGTTAACTTGTTCTTCTATATCGTTGAAAAACGTTTTATCAGATTTCGAAGAAGGAAGAAAGGATTGTTGTAGAGATTCGCCGAGAAGATTGGCTTTCTTTTTTCTCTCATTAAACTGCGTATAAATGCTGGTATGACTATAAGATATTATAGATTTTTCGTAAACGTGGCTTTATCATATGCATCAGAGATAGCCACTAAGTTGGTCATAAATTCTGGATCAGACGAATTAGATACAGTTTGATAAAGAGAGTTAGATACGATGAAATTCACGCTTAAAAACATCCCAATCAGTATGGTCGACTGAGAAAGAGTTAGAAATTAGAGAGACGGAGGTGTCGAGCGAAAAACAAAAGTCAACACAATATTTTAAATAACTTATAACATATAAAGAATCAGAGATAGGCAAGTCGAAGACCAGACTCGAAGCAGTTGTCAACTTCCAATGGACATGGACTCGAGAGTTTTTGTATCAAGTCCATTTGACGTTCAGTTAGAATCTATCGTTTTCAGTAATGAAATCAGTGTAATCTTAAACGTAGTTTAATCTCTTTTTTGTCAAACATATATTTAATGGATAATAATGACTAAGCTATATGTACACGCCCTATATGATTATGGCAGTCATCAACTTGGTGGTTATTAAGAAGAGAGAAAAAAATTAGTGTACTGATTCTATTTTCTGCTAAAAAAACTCGACTGGACTAATAAAACAGAGCAAATTGGTGAATAATCATGGATACATGTAACGAAATAAACATTTAAATGGGTATCAATATTTTTATCACCAAATTAGTTAGTAGACAGACAACAAAAAGAATATAAAGTAAATATATACAAGAAGTAATATGAACGTAATAGAAGTTTAATTTAATTTCTGGGTAAAATAATAAAATGAGCTTGGAAAAAAGCGATATGTGAGCTTGGTGAGTTTAATTGGTTTCGAATGAGAGAAATGAGCTCGGTTGTAATAAAATTATATTTGTTTATATAAATGAGAGTTTTGAGCTCGAAAATTAATTTATACTCTAACAAGATACAAATGAGCTCAGTTAATTTATTTTTGACTGTAAAAAGAGAGAAATGAGCTCGGTAAATAATTTACGAAAATTAATTAATGATTTTGTCAGTAGTAAAGTATATTTAATCCCACAGCCACTTGGGATAAGACGGGGTAATGATCGTTCAAAGAAAGTTAAGTAGCTTTAACGAAAAACTGGATATTAGTGGAAAACTATTGTATATAAAAGATATTTAGTTGTACTGATAAAACTCAACCAGTCGGCTTTTTGCCGGTTTTGAACCAACCGATCCAGTCCGGCCTCTTAGTTTTAGACCGGTTGCAACTCTGATTAAAATACACAAATTGAACAAAATTCCCTGTTTTTTTAATAATTCACACGAACTTATCTTATTCCTTTTTCTTTTAAATTTTGTCACTTGTGCAAGCAACAATTTTCTAGACTACGAAAGTAAAAAAAAGAAAAAGATAGTATAAAAGGAAAAAGTTAAAGATGCTGTCATGATACAGTTTTTGTCATCTACATCAGGAGTTCCTATCTATTATTAAAAAACAGGACATTTTGTTCAGTTTGTGTATTTTAGTTTAATTTAATTAATTGTTTGTATCCACTAATGAAAATTGAGCTAGCTAATCGAAATGTTTGGAAATAAATAAATAAAGTTTATTATGAAGGAAAAAAAATATTTATCTATAATTATAAAAAGAATTTGATAAAACCATAATGATCTAAGGAGATTAAGAGAAACTAAAAGAAATTAAATTAAACTTCTATTATGTTCATATTTCTTCTTGTATCTATTTCCTTCATATTATATATGGGACAACGAGCGCTCGTCGATCGAGCGGATTTTAGCGAGCGCGCTCGGGTGAAAGAGGCAGATCGAGCTCGTCGCCCGAGTGAAGCAGACGAATCGTGCTCGTCGCTCGAGTGCATTTTAACGAGTGCGCTCGTCGCTCGAGCACGTTTTAGACGAGCGCGCACGCTGAATGAGCACTCGTGCACTGCAATATATTTTTATAGAAATATATTTTTCTCTTTACATAATAAGTGAACAGCTATTTACACAGCAAGTAAACAATTGTTTAAACATTTTTTATGTGAGAAAACTTACCTCTCTTGCAGAGAACTTATTTAAATTAGGAATTATACGCAAGCACTCAGATACCGAGCAATACTCGACCAACAAGCGTGATTCGTCTGTTTCGCTCGAGCGCGTTCGTATACCGAGTGCTCGAGCCCCCGCTCGATTCGTCCCGTACCTAATTCATATTCTTTTTGTTGTTTATATATTAATTAATTTGCTGATCAAACAAAAGTCTTATTTTTTAAATAAGACTTTTGATTAAAACACATTTTTCTCCATTTAATACATCTATCAGATAGGTTGGCATACTGCTTCATTTAACACTTTACAAATACGTTCTCAGTACAAAAATCTTGTCTTATTTCTGGACTTGACTTTGACTTGGACATTATCGAATTTGCTCGCCCTTGTGATGAAGGATGTAAACTCTCGTCTAGCACAGAAGGACACAACGTTCTGTTATGGTTTCGCATATCGAACATTTCTTTCGAAAAAATCGACGATTTTGCAAAAATTTTTCCTCAAATGGACCTTCTGATCCGAGGAGGTGTTTACAAGTAACCTCTCTCCTTTTTTCTACCTTGCTGGGAAATGTGAAATAAGTATTCGATTGAGTTCAAATTCATATGAGAGAACATCGAAACGAAAATCGATATATTTTTGCTCAGAATTCTTTAACATGTTCTTTTATGAGTTTTCTGGAAAACCTCCATTTTTATCTATATACATTATGATTTCATCAAAACTTCATCTGATCGCGCTCAAAATTTTATCACACATAGCTAGGACCATATTTCAGAATGAAAATTTTTGTTTTTGGCTTCTGACTTTTCCTTCTCGAGATATGGAAAAGATAGACTAAACTCTACGTAAAATCTCGGTTTTTGATTTTGAAAATTGTATGAATCAGACAGAAAAAATCAAAAGTCAAAAAGAAAAATTTTCCGATCGTAATGTTCATAGATTGGAATTACTACTGTTTTGAACATTACAAGTAGCATTAGACAAAACAGTTTTTCAGGGCATTTCTGATAATACTTATATCTCTGCACAAAAATATTAGAAAATTTTATAAGATGTCCTATTTTGAAGAGGACGCTTTGCTCTATCAGATTACCTATAAAAAAGATTTTGAAGGAACTGGAAAGGGTAAACTTTACAAAACCAAAAAGATCGAGCTTTTTCAGCCTTTCGAGCTAAAACTTAAAAGCCCACCACTTTGTCTAAATAGATCGTGGAATGCTGGAAGTGGTTTTATTTTGTAAATCAGGCTTTCTTTCACATTAATCTATGTTCAACTCAAAATCGAAAATTTTTTCAGAAAATTCTTAATATTTATTTGAAAACAAGAACGTAGCGTCACCATAATGCCTCTTCTATCTTTCATAAGATTTTAACCCGATCGCACATTTGATCAAAATTCTGTGTTAAGTTTTACTCTCAACTAGTAAAGAGATTATGAGAGATGTATAATATACAAAAATATTGTATTCTGAGAGCTGATAGACGTCTTACCTGGAAGGATACACTGCTGTCTATATATGACTGTGTCATTTAACAACTTTTATATCTCCTACAAAACATGAAAAGACTTTTAGAAAAGTTAAAAATCATCAAGTTCTTATTTTTCAACGAAATTCTACCTAACTTTAGAAAAAAAAAGTACTTAACTTCTCAGAAGTTACATTTTTTGAGAACCGGAATGACTTTCGTCTTGTGGAGTCTTTACTCTATCAACATCAAGAAATATAGCATTTTTGAGTTTTACAGCGAATAAAACAAGCTATTACGTACGTATAGCGTTATTATAATACCATGATTTATCGATAGTTTGAAAAGGAGAGATGTTCTTAAATTATAGGTCAATAGATATCTTACACTAACGTTAATCTATTTTCAATGGTTCTTCTAGATCACTGAACGTATAATGATGAAACTTTCAGTAAATAATCTTTAAACACTGGATAGAATTTTCTTAAAATTTCAAATTAAAATTATGTTTCTGCATTAAGTTACGAAGTCGATTTCGAATACAAGCTACCTTTTAAGAGTGGTATAGCAATTATAAATGATTCCAACTCTATCATGATTGAGCTCTTCGACATCAAATTTATAATATGTATAACTTATAAGACCGGTTGCTCAATGGTGAATAAATGGAGTGATTATATTCTCTGGTTTGGAAAATAATGGTGTATAAAGACTGAAAAGAGAAAGTGTCTATAGAATGCCAGAACGATAGAAGAAAACAACGTGAAACGTCGTTTACGATTAGCATTTCAATTGAGCTATATGTACAGGAAATTTCAAATTATTTTCTTGTACAGTTCGAGAATCTAGAAGTGAACATACTTTTATCTAATGCTGTATTTTTCATCAACTTATTAAACTTTAAAGTGTTTTGTGTGTAACTAACTCATCAGCAGAATATTGTATACAACTGTCCAATAGTTTATTTTGTTGAAGATTTAGCATTCTTTAACAATAACATATTCAAAACTTCGAAAAAAAATGAAATAAGGTTTCAGCCTTGGAGAATGTTCCTCAGACTTTTTGATGCATCTACACGTATGGGGTTCTGAATGATTTTTAAATTTGCTTCCTTTTAAGAATATCAATATTTTTTGAACGTTTTCTTGATTATATAGACTTGAATTAATTTGATAAGATGAGAAATTTTAACTGTATTCAAAAGAGTAAATCTGAATCTACAATGTAAATTATCTATTCAGTATATTTCATTCAATACTCAAGTTATAATATTTTAAATTCTTCATGTTTAATGAAGTCTAATTGAACCACTAAACTCTACATTATGTAAAGTTCAATAAAATAGAAAAACTTTTTTATCGTTGTATATTTAATTATGACACGTACCAGTTTTTAGTTGTAGGAGGGCAAAAACTATTACAACTACTGATTATTAAAATTGAAATCTATATAATTATGCCAGCACGTCAAATATCTCGAATGTTGTATAAATTACTTTTGTACATGATTATTCTCGTACTTCTTTTAATTTTACTCAAATATATATACGACAACAAGATGAAAGAAGATATAACTTTCCAGCCCGTACCATTATTTAATCGAAAAATAGATATCAATGGTAATTATGTACCATTTCATGGGTACACAATCATGTCACATGTTGAACATCCATTACCTGAACAACTAGTAAAATTACATGAATATCTCGTAAGAAGTAAATTTTCAGATTATTTTTCATTTTTACCTAAGTTTAGCTATCATGTAACATTGAATCCATTAATAAACGTCGAAATGAAAAGAGATGAAGCAATATTAAAAGAAGCTCAGATGAATATAGACAAATTAGAAACCGGAACAAAGTGTATGGTGAAACAGTTAACAAGAAAAGATAAACTTCAACTTGAAATAGAATTGATCGAACCGTTTTTAAATACTATACTAAAACCGCTTCAGGCTCAATGGACTAAGTTAGACACTATATTAATGAAATATGAAGAAAAATGGCATTTGACATTAGCATATCAATATCGAAACATCACAGATGAAGCACAAGTAATATTGGATGAAATAATAAAAAATTGGACACAGTTTCCGTTTGAAATTTCGCTTGATCCAATCACAATATGTGAACATCAAGATATGACAGACTATGTTGCGATTTTTGATTAATATTTTCGAAATGGCATTGTCAACTTTATTCCCACGACGTTATACAACAATATTATCAGATAAATTGGCCATTAAACTTTAGAATCATTGTAATTGATCATATTCTGAATGATATAACTCGACAAATGCCAAATGCTAATTAAATTGTGGATATTCATCGAATTATTTTATCCGTTCTGTTAGAAGTATGTAGAAACTTAAAAAAATTTGTATCTTTATAATTTTTAGTTTATGGATAATATTTGCTTCCTGTTTACCTCTGTGTCTCATTATAAATTTTTTTCATTTATTAGTTTTTCTCAAATATAGGAAAGAAAACCAAAAAAACGTACAAGTCAAACCACAAAAAAAATTATTCACACACAAAACGCACAGAAAAGACACATGCAAAGAAAATGTGACAGAAAAAAAAATCTCGTTTATATTCGAACGTCTTAAATTATATACATTGTCAAAAAAGAAAATTGATATTCTGATATATATATATATATATATAACACATAATATTCATAACAATAAAGAAAAACGAACAAACAAAAGAGCGAGAGATGAAGAATAGACTCGTTGATGTATACAAATATATGCAAATATTGCACGAACTGTTCAATTTTCGATCTGTCTATGGAGAAAAAGTTTTATTTGAAACTAATCTAGGAGTAGAATAAATTTCATGTTGAATAAACTCTGATGTTTAAGTTATTAAAATCAACGTTCTATACATTTTATTTTATTTTCATTCAGTCAAAATATAAATACAAATAAGAGCAAAAAAACCAAACAAAAAATAATAATAATAATAATATCCTTACAAAAAAGAAAACAATAATAAGAAAATGAGAAAAACATTGAGAATCATTGTAAACTTTGTGTACACACGGTATTAATCTCATTTTTTCTCTCATAAGAAGGAAAATTTCTTGTAAGTTTCACATGTAAGAATGTGCATGCTTAAAAAGACAAATGTGAGCAATGTCATTTATAACGCGAACTTGAACCATGTGTGCCTTCAAAATCATCATCTTCATCATCACCACCAGCGAATGACTAAAATTAATATTATCTAGTATTATTTATATTTTCTCAAGTTAAATAACATTTTTCTCAAAACTGATGTCGAGTATCTTCAGTGTCAAAATTTAGTGACAAACCTGGTTAGTATCATCTACATCTTCTTCATCACTCATTATTCGATTTTTTCTTCGTCCACTTCCAGCACGTTGTTGTGATTGATGAGAATGTTTCTAAAATGCAAGAAAAAAAATGTTTAGATATTCATTTCATGATAAAACAACTGAATATTTTAAACGTACAGGTTTTACATTCGATTCTTTCTTGACACGTTTTTTTAATGGTTCTAAAAATAGAAAATGAATAAATATCTCAGAATGTTTGACGAGTAATATGTATTATACCATCATCGTCTGATTCTTCTTCAGAATCTGAACTAATAGGTATTTCGCCTTTTTCCAATCTTTCTCGGGCATTTGTAAACACCGATTGTAATATAATCGAATCTTCATAAATCTACAGAATAGAAGAAAAAGAAAATGTTGACATTCTTCTAAAATGGGATGGAATATACAACTTACAGGTGAGTTTTCCATATTGAATTCTTGAGCATTTTTACATAAAAGCATTACATCACGTTCGAGTTCATCCAGCGCACGATAGCGATGTTCACCTAATTTTTTCTAAACCACAAAAAAATATTTATCTTATTCATATGATAATTAACAAAACATTTGTACAAAAACAAACCTTAATTTTATTGAAATCTACTGGATATTTAATCATTTCATAATATTCTGGTAATTCTTTTTGTGTTGGTAAACGCATAAACGGACGACTAAGTATCCTATTATCTTCACTAAAATGTATAACAATAGTTCAAGTACATTTTCATAAAAAAAATTACTAGAACATACTTGTCTTTATATTTAATAACAATTTCGAGTAAAACTCTCATTTGTTTGAGTAATTTTGGATTTGTTGGTTCATTATGTAAATTTCGACTATTTTCTTTTGTTTTTCTTTTTCCTACGCGTTTACCTTTGCCACTGGAATTTTGATTATTACTCATATTTAAACTCATATTATTCGATGTTGTATTGTTTGTCGTTACACTCATATCCAAATCCATTTCATCTTTGAGTATATCACTGGTATCGTCGTCATCATCAACATTCACAATACGTCGTTTTCGACGACGTTTTCGTTCTTCTATTTGATCAAGATTTCCATCTTCAATTGCCTTTTAAAGAGAAATTTAGAATAAATTTAAAAATCAAATACCGCAGATTGTCAACACTTACTCTCATCCATTCTTTTTCTGTCAATGAGTCCGTGTAATCAACTTCTTTTCGATGTCTTGTACCACGTCCAAGTAAATCTAGAGTATCCTGATCAATAAGATGTTTCTCTAATTCTTTTGGATCTTTCAATAGCCATGCTGGTAATTCTGATTCTTCCACAAGACGAGGTTTACGATTTGGTAGACGTGCGTCAGCATGTCGACGTTCACGATCCATTCTCTAAATAAAAATAATACGTTGTTTTTGCAAATAAAAATATTAAAAAAAACTATAAAAACTTGCATTAAATTGATTATATTCATCTTCAGATCTAGCTATCATTTGATTTATTGTTTCATCATCAGGAACTTCATCTTCTTCTTCATCTGCATCTTCGTTCTCTTGCGTTAATATTTGTTGTAAAAATTGTTTCCGTTCGTTACCTGTCGATTTATTATCGAACATGCCCGCTTGTATCACTTTTTCATCAACATTTAATTTATATCGTGCAGCAGCTAAAATTTTTTCTTCAACACTGTTAACTGTCATCAAACGTAATACTCGAACTTCATTTTGTTGACCAATACGATGTGCACGATCTTGTGCTTGAAGATCCTATAAATGAATATATTTGAATAGTTTTTCCTTTGTTAACATTTCTAAAAGACATATACTTGATGGGGATTCCAATCGGAATCAAATATAACAACGGTGTCAGCTTTTTGCAAATTCAAACCAAGTCCTCCAGCTCGTGTAGATAGAAGAAAAATGAAATAATCCGAATCTTCATGACTAAATTTTGCTAATAGATCACCACGTTCTTCCGATTTTGTTTGACCATCGAGACGTAAGTATTTAAAATCTAGAAGAAAAATAATAACATTTATGACAAATCAATAGATTACAAAAAATATCATGGGAATTTACTTTTGAATGCAAAATAATCTTCCATTATTGTCATTAATGATGTCATTTGACAAAATAATAGTACTTTATGATTTGTTGCTTTCAATTTTGGTAATATACGATCCAAAAGTTCAAATTTACCCGAAGTACGGTATAAATCAGCTCTAAATGGAAAATATCGCTTTTACTTATAAAATTCACTTTCTTGAAACGGAAAGAGAACGTCATCAATTTTTCAACTCTCTCATAGAAGTCAGCTTATCCTAAGCGGTTGTAAAGGGTGTGTTCTGATTTGTTAGCTTACCCATTACAAATGCCATTTGAGTAATTGAAATGTTGACTGATTTTTTCTTCAAGTTCAGCAAACATAAATGGATGGTTGCAAATTTTTCTCAGTTGCATAATTGTGTTCATCAATGCTTTTGGATTCGATTTTCCATTCTAGAAAGTGTTTAACACAGTACAAAATATAGAAAACTGAAATAAATGTGTACCAATCAGAGACCGAAACGGATCGGGTCGGGTTACGTCTGGTTGACCCCTTTCGATCTAACTCAGGTCAATATAAAATATACTGCCTGAATCACCCAAACTTTTCCACTCGTGAAAGGAAAAAATGACGGAAATCGTAAGAAATTGGACCATTTTTCTGAAAAAATTTCAAAACAACCTGACTAAGATAACTTTTCTATAGGAAAGAAGTGTTTCTTTGCGAATTTGTACGAAAACATTTTTATGTTTCGGATCTAGTTCGTATCGCAGTTGCAAAATTTTCGGGTTCGGACCAACGTATAAGATATTGACTTGGGTCAACTCACGTTCGGGACGAGTCGGGTTCGGGTCACGTTTGGTTGACCCGTTTCGGTCTCAGATACCAACACAGAATACACAAAACTTTCAACACGATTAAATTGTCTAAAAAATTTACCTTTCCATCTTTGTCATCTGTCAACAATATTCCACTAGATTGCATACTATTATACATAACACGTTGAAGTGCCGACATATCACATTTAATAACATATTCAATCTTTAAAAGAAAAATATTCATACACTGTACATCATCAACTTTGAAAACTGCGTACTTTTTCCGGTAATTGGCTTTCAACTTCACGTTTAAGTCGACGAAGTAAAAATGGACGCAATACTTTGTGTAAACGTCTTATGATAAGTAATGTTTCTTCAGGATTTAATTCAACTTTTTCTCCAGTTGTGGCAAAGGGTGCATTGAACCATTGTTCAAACGTAGCTGAAAATAGATTGACGTATAATCATTCTATTTTACATTAGAAATAAGCAATACATACTGCATGATTTAAATATGCTTGGCAACAAAAAATTTAATAATGCCCATAATTCTGGCAATTTATTTTGTAATGGTGTACCCGTTAATAGAAGACGATGTGGTGCCAAATAAAATGTATTTAATATTTGTGTTAATTTACAATGATGATTTTTCATTCGGTGTCCCTCGTCGATAATCATATAACGCCATTTTAATTTAGATAACATGGCTTTATCTTTAATGATGTATTCATACGTTGTTAATAAAACGTTAAATTTTCCCGTCTTAAGTGATTGACCTAATGCTTTTCGCACAGCTGGATTTCCTTTAAATATAACGTTCACAACGGCTGGAGCCCATTTTGTAAATTCATTTACCCAATTGGCAAGTGTACTGAACAAACAAACAAACAAACATTATGGTTTCCAAATAAAATGTGTCCTAGAATACATACGAGAGGGGTACAATAATAAGATATGGTCCATTTACTTTTTTCACTTCCATCAAATATGTAATTAGACCAATTGTTTGAATAGTCTGAAAAAAATCGAAAAGAACAAATGAAAAACAGCATGGTATTTCCATTTACTTTACCTTTCCGAGACCCATTTCATCAGCTAGTATACCATTCAAATTATTATTGTACAACGATACAAGCCATTCTAAACCTTGTATTTGATACGGTTTCAGTTGGCCACCAATTAACAACGTTGATTGTTTTAGAACACGTTCCCGTACTTTATGCGCAACAGCATAATAAGACTGTAAACCAGCTGAATGATATTCATCGTCTTCAGTGGCAGCTTTGGCTTTCGTTAAAACGTCTTTGACTACTTTTTCATCTTCGACAATACCTTTTTGTTGTTCCTCAGTGGTTGGACCAAAAGTTGGAAACACGTTTGTATTGGCGTTTGTTGCTGCTGATCCTTCTTCGTCCTCAATGAAGAAGAACGTTTTATTTGGTTATTTAGTAGATTATATGAGACTTTTATCACACGAAGATGAACTTACATCATTTTCATCGTCACTGTTTTCTCTTGGCACTGGATCCCAACCAGGATTTTGTTCTAGCCATAAATCTAATTCTGATGCTAATGGTGCATCTTGACCTTCACGTATTTCTCCCGTTGATGTGTGTACAACTTTCACACGTATATCTACTGTATCTTCAGTTAGTGTTGCTGTCGTAGATTGAGAAGCAGTATTTGGTTGCATACCTAATTCTTGTTTGATTGTCTCAGGTTTTACTTTTGCTTTTCTTTCGGTTTTTTTCTTTCGAATATCATCTTGATGCTCTCTGACAAGATTTGTTAAACTAATTATATAAGCATCTGTCTGTGATAATAAGTAGGCTAAACGTTTATCCTTCTTTTCATCAATTAATTTTCTATAACCTTCTTCATCTTCGTTCATTAACCGTCTCATACGTTCTCGCTCACGTTTTTCTTGTTCTTTTTTTTGTTCACGTTCTGTATTTTGATACCAACTTTGGACGGCTTTACTTAATTTACTGACTTTCAATTGTACATTTTTATGATATTCTTTAAATTCTTTGGCTATGGTCAATACAGCATTCAAATATTCCTGATGTTTTTGTCGACGTTTACGTTCAATTTCTTGTTTTTGTTGTTTTTCTAATTTTTCCGTTGCACGAGCTTCACGTACGCCAAAGTGTTTGGTTCGTTTATATATACGTGGATTTGTGCCAGTCTCTAATGTTGAATCGAGACGCATACATGTCGTGACTTCGGTACGAAGCTAGAAAGAAAGAATATTGGTTTTAAGATTAAAGCTAACCAACCAGTGTGTCAATGATTTTATTTGCTTATACCTGTCGTTGAAATGTTAAGAGTTTCAATGCCTTTAATTCAATGGTGGCTTTCATTCGTAAATCGTCTAATGATAATGTTGGTAAAAGTTTTTCTAACTCATTGATACGATCAATTATCTGATGTTGCATACGTAATTCACGTTCCTGCATAATTTCATGCATCTGAATACCACACGGCTTTTGTATTAGTGTAACCCGCATACTAAAAATACAAAAAAAAAAGAAAAGAAGTCTTAGATTTTGATAATGTGAAAATAATGTATTCTTACTTATTCATTCGAGACGATGGAGTTTGATTATTTGTTAATGGAGTATTTGACGTCGATGGTATTGCGGCTGTAGGTATATTGTTATTAATAGCTAAACCATTTGCTAGAACATTCTCATTTTGTTGAACAATATTCGTTGAATTGTGTTGCGGTAATGTGGCTATGGATGTCTGAGCTGAATAAGAAGAACTATTACCATTCTGATGTGGAGATATCATAGATGCAGAAGGCGGATAATAACCACCCGCTAATTGTTGATGATGAACAGTACCAGCAGCGGACGATCCAGGGATGTAACCTCCAGGAGGCTGCTGAAGTTGTGGTGTTGGATTGGACATGCGATTATTACCATACATATTAGCGGTTCCATTCATCATCGGTTTTGGTGGTTGTTGCATACCACTAGGCAATGGCACTGGCATTCCATATGACGACGAACCTGGCATATTCATTCCAACCGATGGTGGTACTGGTTTATTCATCATCATCATTGACGAATTTGGTATTTGTGGAGGAATTTGATTGAAATACTGTTGTTGTTGTCTTTTGATTGCCATTAAGTGTTGTTCCGGAACAGGTTGATTACGCACCAAATATTTGTAGGCATTTAGTTGATGATTATATAAACTGAACTGATTTGCATTCATCATATTCGTAAGAGACGACGGATCACTATTTGTAGTTGCCATCCCTTGTGGCATATAGACTAAAATAATAATAAACAATACAGGTGCTATTCACCATACCCAGCTACTTATCTAGAAAAAGCGATATCGTTCTACAGTATGAGGCATTACAAGTAGAATAGTTTTTATTTTCCACTAGTCTCATGTAGGAGTGCAGAATGTAACCCTCTACGTAAACAGCCATTTATGAAAAGGTTTAGCTATGTCAAGATCTTTCTTTTATCATTATATCCTGCTATAGCACCATTTTCTCACACTAAGAATCAGTACGTCTATATTTAATTCGTTCACCAAATAAAAGGCTACTGAACAGTTTTTACACAATATCAAGATAAACAGTAGCTATTTTATAAGAACAGTGAATGAATTCAAATGTTTAAATTTGTTTACCCTTGCCCTGTTGTTTTAGATCATTTAGGACAAGAAAAATTATTACAAAACAGAGTACCGCAAACAACACATTCTTCCTTTCACAGTCTACGAACAAATGCACAGGACAACAAAATTTTACAGACTTACCTTGAGGTTGGTTAGTTGTCGGATTCATTGTTACAGTAACGTTTTAAGTTACGTATTTGATCTACATCACTGATCTAAAACACCATAGTTGAGATAGTATTTATCTCAGAAAGTTTCAACGGAAAAAATGACATAGTTTTTGGAGAAAAAAACTGCTTATATTGGCGTGGTATGAACATTTTATTCTCTACGACATTAGATATTCCACTGAGATTAAAACATCACTACAGCAGATTTCTATGATATTGGTTAAATTTAGTAAACGAAATCTGAATTAATTAAAGATTAGAAACACCGGACCAAACGTACTTTTCTCATCTATTCTCATTTAATATAATATAAAGAATTTTGTTGAAGATAACGTCGTGGATAATAAGCTGAAATTTACACCAAACAAATACAAAGAGAGAGCCTTCATACTATTTGTTATTGATCTTAGATACGTTAAGTACGCTTAATCTCACACAGAATTTTCAAATTTATGCCATTATTTTGGTTTAAATCATTGTTCATATCAATGATTATTCTATTATATATCTATTGAAAGTACACTATTTCGTTTGAGCTCCAAATTGAACACAGACTTCTAGATGGCGTTATTTGCAAGTTAACAGACCTAAATATTGGGCACGTCAGGCTATGTAAATCAGGCGTATGATAGTATCGTCTAATGACAGGCGTTCTCCGACTTTAAATGTGACATAGAACGAAATAATTTGAAAGATGAAGTTTTAGGCATTATTATTCCGAAAATGAGACATAAAATTGGGTAGTTTCATGCAGCTCGGCCCGGTATTAAAATCCGCCGCCTTGATCTGAAAGCCGATCAGAAGTGACTCCTGTCATCGTCTAGGACATGAAAAATCACTTATAAATCCATACATTTTAGCTGTTCAAACGGTTCCGAGAATGGCAGCTCGTAGCTCGCAAAAGACGATTTCACCCGTTTTCCAAGGCTCCTGCGTACCTAAATACCAATTTCACCACTACATCTGAATTTTTCTAAAGTGATGATCGAAAAGAGCATAAAAGGTTGCATATGTTCCATCAAAAGTGTAATTTTTCTTCATCATTTTTTATGCAAAGCTTTTACAATGAAATATTTAAGCTGTCCCACGAAAACTACATGTGAACTTTTCGAGATATTATTATGTTAGATACTATTTGAGTAGCTCTACAAAAGCCGTCAAGTTTCAAATCCGGTCGAACAAATTTGTTGGGTCGGTTTTCCAGAAATTCTTGTCAAAATCTTAATCTTATATATCATAAAGAATCAGCTTTGATCTCGGATTCGTGTTTAGAGTCAAAAATACTGCATAGTTTATTGTTTTCTACTCTTTTAAAGGCTATCTGGAAGTCCAGATGTTTACAAAGATTTTTGGAAAATCGACCCCACAAATTTGTGTCGACTGGATTTGAAACTTGACGGTTTTTGTAGAGCTACTCGAATAGTATCTAAGATAATAATATCTCAAAAAGTTCACATTTAGTTTTCGTGGGAATAGTTCACAAGTTCAAAAGTAGGTCTCGGATACCGAGGTATTGAAGCGAAACCGTAAGTATTTTCGAGCTTGTTCTTGTAGTATTCAGACAAATTTCAGTGGCGCTTTTCTTTGGCTACATATTTTGTAGCATTTTATTTTATTCTGGGTTCGCTGTGACCATTGCAAAAAGTTACATTTTTTTTACGTTACAAAAAGTTTACATATTTTACACGTTGACGATAAAACTGGATTTCAGAGAAACAAATACGTAACTTTCAATACTCTATCTAGCCACGAGGAACAGGGGGCTTCAAGTTCTCTCGTAGTCTCGGAATATTCAGTTAGAAAAACCTGAGAAATGCTAAAATTCACAACTTATTGCCGAGGAAAGGCCGTGTTCTGAACAACTTTTCGAAGGAGCGACTATGGGCTTTTACAGACTTTTAGTAGCTCTACGGAACGCATATAGTCAGACCTTTCCGGCTTTCAGTCATGTATAAAGTGGACGGACCTGTACCGAATTGATTGAGGGAACTTTGCTCGAAAGCAATAATCTCGAACAGAATTTCCTCGAATTTTATAAACAGAAATTATCAATATTGTTTGCAGTGTATATAACATATTAAAGATGAACACAAAAAATTACTTGAGCTACAGATAAATACCAACAAGACTACTGAATCTATCTCAGTTATCTATCAATGAAACTGCTTTGTTTGAAACATAAAATTCATAAATGGATATTACGAGCTACAGCAGCTATTTGTTGTTTTATATTGGCATCAGGATATTTAATTCAGTAAAGGTTTTGATTTAGAAGTTGTAGAAAAAGTTGCGATGTTTATAGTACAAACAGATTGTTTCAAGTGACTTTTCAAATGATTGATAGTCTTATTTTCTTTTATAAACCGGTGCAAACATATATAACCGAAAATTTGAGGAGATTCTATACACTTCAAATAATATTGGTAATTTCTGTTTGAAAAATTCGAGGAGGTTTCCATTCGAGGAAATTTCATTCGAGCAAATGTCCAGAGCCCCGGAATTACCCAATTGTAAAGTTTTCAAGAATCTGACCAAATGGAAATTGAGGCATTAAAGTATACTTAAAACAACTGATAAAGATGAATTCAATCGTTCACTACTTAACGCCATCTTAAAGAGAGCCCACTGACTTCTCCCATAATAAAGGTTACTATCAGTTTCCAGCGATTAACTTCCTACTAAAGTGTAAAGTAGCGATTTATAAGACGCGTATGACTGTATTAGAATCGTGTCTGTATGGCCCGTTGTTCCTCGAGCCTAAGTGCTCCGTTTTCAGAGTACCCTATTCTATGTTTCTTAATGTATTTATATAATACAATTTAAACCACGAAAGAAGTACATGAATTCTTTGATCAAACGAGTAAAATGGATAAGAAAAAATGTCCATTAGACACTCAAGAAATTTAATAATACAAAATAACACTGTGAGATTGGACCACAAGTTATTAGCGAATGTCTCTTTCAAGACCCTTCAAAATACGCAATAAATATCATCATTTGTTATGTTAAAAGAAATTGAACTAGCAAATTTTGTACTGTTTGAAAAACTCCACAAAGTGAACTACTGTTCACTCTATGACCTTATACAACTATGTTTAATTGTGTTCTCCACTTCCACGAAGTGTGACAAAGCTGCCAAGTCATTTCAAGAAAAATTTTCCCCGAGTCAATGGTTAAGAGGGACCTCACTAGATTCAGCTTTGGCTCCTGAATATCGAGCCACTTAAAGGTACACTCTAATTTTGATAATAAAAGAATTATAACTTCCGAAGGAGAATTTTGTTTTCGACTAAACGTTCAGAGTTTCTACGTTACGTGTTACGCTTTACCGTAACATTTTCACCCTTTTAGCATGACATTGTTACACATTTACCGTAACATTTCGGGACAGTGTATACAAGTCTGGTCTTGTTTAAAGCTATATTGACGGAGATATAGTATTTTTATTGATCAGGATATATTTTTAAAAGTCCTTTTTTTTTCAGTTTATCCAATGGTTTTCCTGCTTCTCGTCCTCACACAATATACGGGAAACAGATATAGACGCGCAGCAATCATGGTGTACATTCAATGATGAAAGGCATTTTCCAGAAAAGTAGAAGGATATTGAAAAAAAGATTTTTTATTACACTGGTATCACATAGGTGCCCATCGTTCAAACTTCTTAGTTTTCTCAGGAACCATGCAGCGTCAAGCCTTAAAAAACATACAGTCATACACACCTTATAAATCTCTACTTTATCCTAATAGGACGTTAATTACTTGAAAATTTTAAAAACCGTAAATATCTCTTCATTTTTCGAGCTGGTCACTCATTGCATTGTTGTTTTCGGAAAAAGCATCCCCATACATTTTATAATAGTGCAGGTTTAAAGTATATTTGCATTGTCCTGTTTTGATGGAACTATAGTTCTTTGAAAAGTCTTTACTTGTTTTAAGAATCCTTTATGTAATCTGTTATGATACAGATAACTTTGTTTTCTGTTACAATTTTATTTTGTATAGATTGAAAGAAAACAGAAAAATTCGATTAGTATCGATCATCACTTTCATTCATTATGAGAGCTGAAAAAATCGACTTCTATCGCGCCAGACGGATTCAGCTGAAATTTTGGGCAATGAATAACGACTATTAGTTGTAAGTGAGTAGCGTTTAGTCCCATTGAACACAGGGTTGTTGAACAAAAGTGATTGTTTCGAAGAAACGACAACGTCTATCCTGATTCTTCATGATTTAAAGCTGTTTTAGAACATGTTTGCCGCGTTAATAGTATTAAGGCATGAACAGTGACCTATTCCGAATACATATTCAGACATATCTGAACACGTGCTCGAAAAGCTTTCCGGCTTACCGCACATATCATAACAAAGTTTCGAATCTCGTCATGGCTCGAGAGCCAATTTCAATTAGTTTTTCTAAAAGGGTTTATAACGGAGTTAGTATGGTCATATATGCGTTAGTTTTCT